AAACTCAGTTTTTGATGGGCTTTCGAATGGTGTATGAATTATTTGTGTTGTTATTACAAGTGTTGCTGTGACCCCCTAGGAAAAGGTTATGCCCCACCCTGTATAATCTTGGGGGAATGAGTGGAAGAGATGTTGTATAGGAAACAATGAGATTATTAGCTATCTCAGGTAAACCAGACAGGAAAGAAGACTAGATGAGCTAATTCTACTTTATTATAAGTCTATGTTACCAGAATCTTTGCCTGTCTGAAGTTTCACCACCATTTTTGATTGTCTGATCAATTAGAGCAGGTCCTTCCTAAGTTTCTTTCTCTGACTGTTAAGCCCTTGGAGTATTTCTTTGTATTATTCTTCAAGGTTATGTATGCATCCCATTACACAAGTTGTAAGTCAATACAAAAAGAAAATTGTTGTTATTCTTGTTATTTGTTAATATAGTCCAGTGACTGAACAAAAGTGTTATGACAGATTGTATGATATTTAACCCTAATATATATCCAATCATTTTGGACAGCACTATTCATCTTTTTGTTTCATACTATTTTTATCTTACATCTTCATGAAAGCATCTTCAAATTAAAAAGCATCTCTCACAACATACAAGTAGCAATAGTCAAAAAGTCAACTTGAGTACATTCTAAGATAAATGCATAGATCTAAAGTGCAGATCTTCATGAATTTGCATGAGTTCTATGAAGAGTCATGATACTGGCTCTTACTTAAATGATCTTGAAGTTAGTAGTTGTTTCCAGGTGCTCCTTACTGTGAAATTTATAACATAAGTTCAATCAAGAAAATGAGTTGCTAGAAAACTGGACTATGAAGTTATTCAAATAAGCTTATTTCTCATAAATGTTTCTCATTATCAAAAGTTTAGAAAATAACAGCTTGCCTCTTTACCTTTTGGAAAGTATTTCAAAAGCTGTAAAGTTTGATCAAGGTTGATGCTTTATCCCTCTTCATTACTACCATCTCTGCTTTCTCTTCAACTCTGCAGGTCCCTTTGTTAATTCAATCATAATGAAACAGATAGGTCTGGAATATCTTCTTTTTCTTGGCATGTAAAATGGACCTATATTAATATACAGAATGTATTACCACTCCTACTAGTAACATTCTTCATGTTAGAAATTAAATAAAGACCACCAAATTAAGGATGCCCGGTGTAGGAGATATTTGATCCTACATTACATCTTCATTTTTTTTTGTTTCATTTCATTGAATTAACTACTGCAATATTTATTTGCCCCATTTTTAACCTAATTAATAATGATTATTCTACTGTTGCTCTCATTGGCTGGGATTCAGTATG